CCCTCTCTCCAAAATTCCTCGCGGCAGAGGCAGCGTTGCTTACCTGCTGAAAGCGCAGCCTGGCTGCTGTTTCTGCCTCTTCTCCAACCACTTGGAGCCCTGTAATAGCGCTGCAGCTTGCTTGAGGTAGCTGCAGTTTGGACTTCCCCTGCCCCCCTCTTCCGTCTTCTTCTCAAGGAGGAGCCTCGCAGCATGACCGAGGCTGAGGAAGGGTGGGATAATAGAACGGATCCCCCGGCGCCGCCCGTGTCCCCTGCCCTGCAATAATGAAGCGCTTTGCCAAGGAAAGCAGAGTCTCAGGCTGCTCCTGGAGCAGCCAGGAGAAGGAGAAGCTGCCAGCGGGGAGACGAGCCACCCCAGGAGGACAGGAGGAGAGCGCAGTTTCTCACTCATGGAGATCTACCTGCCTCACACACTTCTTACTGCTTTCCGCAACCACTTCCCCGTCGGTGGATCTCCATGAATGAGGAGCTGCGCTCTCCTCCAGTTCTCCTGGGGCAGCTCGCCTCTCTGGTGGCTTCTCCTTCTCTTGTCTGCTCCAGGAGCATCCTGTGTTACCCGGCGAGAACGGCTGCCACCATAGCCTGCCCCCGCCCTCTCTGCCCCGGCAGTTGCTCCTGGTGCTGCCGGAGAAGCGGCAGCACGAGAACCGCTGTTGCTGGGGACAAGGAGATGGCGGTGGCAGGAGCAGCAGGCCGGGGCTTCCCTCCCTCCCTCTCCCCCGGACGCCTGAGGCTATGCCAGAATTCTGCTTGGGCGGGGAGACAGGGAAGCCCCAGATTGCCCTCAGAATAACGACTTTCCAGGCCCAAAATGGAGTGGGGGGCGAAGTGCATGTGCAGAGCGTGCATGCACAATGTGGGGGGCATGTGCGGGGGGGGGGTCATGTGCGCATGTGGGAGGATTCGCATTGCATTATGTGTGCTGGCACGCACATGAGGGGTTGCGTGCGCACATACACACTTCTGGCACGCCACGAGAAAAAGGTTCGCCAACACTGGTATAGAGCTTCTCCATCTTCGGCTGCAGAGCACATAGTGAATCTTATTTCTGTGTTGACTGCCTGGTGATATCCATGTATTGAGTTGTCTCTTGGATTGTCGGAAAAGTGTGTTTCCTATGACCATCGTATTCTCGACAAAATTCTATCAACCTGTGCCCTGCTTCATTTTGTATTCCAAAGCCATTTTAGTTCGCTGAGTCCTAAGATGTCGATATTCAGTCTTGTCATCTCTTGTTTGACCACATCCAGCTTGCCTTGATTCATGGATCTTACATTCCAGGTTCCTATGGAGAATAGATCTTTACAGCATCGGACTTTCCTTTCACCACCAGATACATCCACAGCTGAGCGTCCTTTTGGTTTGGCCCAATCACTTCACTCTTTCTGGCGCTACTAGTACTAGCCCTCTGCTGTTCCCCAGTAGCATATTGGACACCTTCCAACCTGAGGGTCTCATCTTCCAATGTCATATCTTTTTGCCTTTTAGTACTGTCCATGGGGTTTTCATGGCAAAGATACTGGAATAGGTTGCCATTTCCTTCTCCAGTGGATCATGTTTTGTCAGACCTCTCTGCTATGACCTGTCTGTCTAGGGTGGCTCTGCACGGCATAGCTCATAGCTTCATTGAGCTACGCAAACCCCTTTTGCTATGACAAGGTAATAATACATGAGGGGGAATAGTGATGTATTCACACCAAAAAAAGACAAAAAGCTATTGCCATTTTTTTGCTTTTAACATGAGTGTAGTAGTATTATTTAAAGTTGGAAAGAAATCCTCTCATATGGGAAAGTAGAAGGACTTGCAAGGGAGAGAATGGAGCAACTATCAGGATAAAGTACAATAAAGAGGGTGCTTATAGAGAGAGAATTACCACTGATTGAGATATTATTAAATGGAAGGAAATACTTCCACCTAGATTTTTTTGAAATGGAAAGTTTTTTAAAAATCAAAGTGCATAACAAGATTATATTTGCAAATATATTATCTATACTTTTGGAACTGTAGATGAACATTAAAGATTCTAAAATAAGAATTGTCTCCTTTTCTTTTTGAATGAATGATTTATTGTGTAAATTATTGTTTTGGGAATAGGTGGTCTTTCTTTCCTTTAAATCTCATTTGAAGGAAAGGAATGTTGTGCATATGCAGAAGGAATATTATGACTTATCAGTATGTTAAGAGGCTGAATGATTGTGGAAGAATCATTACTATCTGTCCAGGAGAATATAGATTTCTCTAAATTAAAATATAGACAAAATGTCTGACATTTGAACATTATCAGAAGCTTAATGAAGTGCATCTGAAAATATCAGAAAAAGGGCCTATATAGAAAATGCATTGCAATTAGCTATGTAATTTAAAATTAAGCTATCATACTTAAATGTATGCTGAACATAATATGCAACATAAGAAAAAATGGAAGTTTTCTAAGAGTGTTTATGCATTTATATGTACAGTATGTGTATGTGCATAAGAGAAAAGAAAGACAAGTCTTTTTCAGTTTCCTGAATAATCTGTTTTGTGTGTTGTTTTGTTTCTGACCATGCATTCACTTGCTGTCCTTAGGTCTAGAGGACTTTCCTATATGGTAAATTAATAATTTTTAAAAATCATATAATTTCTTGACCATTGTCTCAGATGTATTTTAATCTACAGTTAACTGGTTACTTACTATAGAACAGTTGTAGCCTAGAGAGTTGTATATTTCAGATAGAATGACTTTTGGTATTATGTGATTGCACATTATTAAAATATAAATCCTAAAAGGGGAGTTTTAATGTTTTTTAACAGTTAATATTGATTTTGTCTGTTTTTTCTTGCTGTGAGGTGCCCTGAGTTCTTTCCGGAGAGAGGGCGGCATATAAGCAAGCAAGCAAGCAAGCAATTTATTTAGCAGCTAGCTACCTAGCTAGCTAGCTAACTAACTAACTAACTAACTAACTAACTAACTAACTAACTAACTAAATAAATAAAATAAATAAATAAATAAATAAATAATAAGATAGATAGATAGATAGATAGATAGATAGATAGATAGATAGATAGATAGATAGATGATAGATAGATAGATAGATGATAGATAGATAGATAGATAGATAGATAGATAGATAGATAGATGATAGGTAAATTTAAGATAATATGTCTATTTGGGCTGAATACAGCTAATGCTGTTCTGGAACAAACTCATGCATATCTTTATTCTAAAAGCCTGTCATTCCTCATGTCTTGTTTGGTTCAGATTGTTCCCCAAAGCCACAATATCCATCATGGTGAAAGTGGAAGTTAATAAAAAATGAAGATGCAGCATTTAATGTCTAAATATATATATAAAGATGTTTGTGGTATTTTTTTTCTTTTCAAGAGCTCAACTGTCCTATCCCATTTAAGATTATTGTATTAATTTATCATCATCTGCCATTATTTGGTATTTTTGATACTATTACATAAAATATGTTTTTGATTTAAAGATATATGCATAATCTATGGTTGAGAGGTCACATATCAGAATATAAACATTATTGCTTTAGACAACTTTTAATTATATTCATGTGTGGAAATCTAGAGAGATAGTCATGAGTAATTCTTTTCCACAATCTATTTGATAAACTATTTTTTCCTTTATAAAACTATCTTGAGAAAAAGCATGTTTTATATCATTTGAATAGTATGATTATTACTTTTGTCATGAACTGCTGTTTCGGGAGACTGATATACAGTACGTCTTGCTTTCATATCCATGGATCTGCTAATAGAGGAAGGAAGAAATTGGCACTGCTGTTCAAATATTCTAAAGCACACATTTTTTTTACACCAGGGACAAGCAATGAGTGAACCTCCATCATATTTCCCTAGTGGCAGGTACTGTTAATAAATTGATCATATTTGAACTAGATCTAAAGAAATACATATCTTGCTCCTTTTCAGAATGACACAGATTAAGTGTACACTCATATCTGCTCATGATAAAACTGCCTTCTTTTCCATTAGATTTCTTACTCTCCTCTCTCCCTCTCTCCCTCCCTCCCTCTTTCACGCACACACGCATTCAAATGCACACACATGCGCACACACACATTGAAATTGTTCAATGGCCATTCAATCTAGTTTAATTTTCACTAGTATCATGATGCTTTATAGATACATTGGAACTCTGAGAATTCCTAGATTCCATTCATCATCTGGGAATTCTGGGAATTCTAGTCTCATAATCTGCAAACATCAGGTTGGAGAAGATCCCTTCACACAGATTCAAAACAGTAGAAGTGAAATAGATAAATTCTTTCCATCTCTGAATAGGCCATCATCCTTATTGTGTAATTGAGAAAAGATCAGAAGATCTCTTACCAATTTCATCCTTAAGATGAAGAGTTTTTATTAATTTAGGCATGCTGATTTCACCTCTCATCTTTGCATCTTTACACCTAATTCCATGCAAGATACCATGCAAGATATACTGTATTTTTAAAAGCCTGTAAATACCATTTCAATAATGAGTAAAGGGATGCCTGTTCTTGCTATTTACTTCAAAGGAGAAGTGTTAGCTAGCATTTCCCTTTAAAGTCCTTCTACACAAATTTATGAGATAAGATACACAATCATACTTATTGCTTTTCCCATTATAAATAGCATTTGCATACTCAGAATACAGGTCTTCCATTTTGTCTCATAATTACATGTAACAATATTGGAATTTTAACACCTATTCCAGTCTATATCATTTTATACAACTTCAATTATTATCATAATTAATTGCCTTAAACCTATAATGTTGTCTATATAACAATCAAAATGTATTCAGCTTGAAAATTAGAACTACAGAAAAGCAAATTACAAAATAAAAATAAAATACTGTGTCTTTCACTCTACTTACTTTCAATCAAACACAGCCTTCCTGAAAATATTCAAAAATGCAAATTGTTTTGGAAGAATTGCTACTATGATACAGTTATTTTAATAATTCTAAGGTTTCTGAAATTTCTTTTTTTTCCCCTCAGACTTCTAAGAGCTCAGTCCCTGGAATGGTATTACAATAATGTGAAAAGTCGCTTCAAGCATTTTGGAAGTGCTAAAGTTCTGAAGAATTTATATAGACAACATCGCTTGGAAACTGGAACTTGCAGTGACATACTAGGTAGAGAGAAAAATAACAAAGATAAGAATTTCTCTACCATGAATACTCATGCAAATGTGGAGCAATAAATTTACCTATAGTGCAATGATCACTATTATTATTGTATCTCAGGAAAAAAAGAGCCAAGCCTTGTATATGAAGAGGCTGACATTTTGTGTCATCATGCAAATAACATTGCTCTGGAAGTGCAAGATATAAGTAGCAATAGCACTTAGATTTATATACCGCTTCACAGTGTTTTACAGCCCTCTCTAAGCAGTTTACATAGTTGGCATATTGCCCGCAACAATCTGGGTCTCATTTTACCAACCTCGGAAGGATGGAAGGCTTCACCAACCTTGAGCCTGGTGAGATTTGAACTGCCAAATTGCAGCCAGCCGGCAGTCAGCACAAGTAGTCTGCAGTACTGCTTTCTAACCACTACGCCACCTCAGCTCTCCTCAACTTACATCTACAATTGAACCCAAAATTTATGTTGCTAAGTGAGGCATTTGTTAAATGTTTTTCCCCATTTTATGACTTTTTTTTGCCATAGTTGTTAAATGAAATATTGCAGTTGTTAGTAACATGGTTGTTGAATCTGGCTTCTCCATTGACTTTGCTTGTCAGAACGTCGCAAAAAGTAATCACATGACCCCTGGACACTGCAGTTGTTATAAAAATTAGTCAGTTGCCAAGCACCTGAATTTTGATCATGTGACCATGGGGAAGTTGCAATAGTCATAAGTGTGAAAAACGGTCATAAATCACTTTTTTTCAGTGCCATTGTAACTCTTGTAAGTCGAGGACTACCTGGAAAATAAATGCAGAAACTCATGTTCAGTTCTTGGAGGTGCCTTGTTTTTAAACATCAATTAATACTTTATAATTCTAATTTTAAAATATTTTAATTAGGGTACAGTTTAGAATCCTGTAATTATAGTCATAGACATACAAATATACACAGTATATGTATACACATATTCACTGACATAAATTGATGGCTATACATAATAGAACATATATTATTTTCTTAATCACAAACAGTTCTTGGAATTTCTCCCTTGTAATATTCTGTTTTTATTGAGCTGTTTCCCATTTATATGTGCAACAATTTCAGGGGTGAAATGTTCCCGGTTTGGACCGGATTGCCCGATCCAGTAGCGATAGCGGGTGGTTCGGAGAACCAGTAGCAAAAATCCCCGCCCCCCCCTATGCCCAGCTGAGCCACGCAATCATCAGAGGCTTTTTTTTTTTACTTTTAAAAGCATTTTTTCTTCGGCCGAAAAAAATGCTTTTAAAAGCAAAATAAAAATAAAAATCTCTGGTGATCGTGCGGCTCAGCTGGGATCGTCAGAGCCTTTTAAAAGCATTTTTTTACAACCTCTTTGGCTGAAGAGGTTGTAGAAAAAATGCTTTTAAAAAGCTCTGACGATCCCAGCTGAGTTGCCTGATCGTCAGAGCCTTCGGTAGGAAAAGTGCTTTTAAAAGGCTATGACAATCAGGCAACTCAGCTCAGGATTGTCAGAGCCTTTTAAAAGCATTTTTTTTACAACCTCTTCGGTTGTAAAAAAAAAAGTTGGCCATACTCACCCAGTCACATTCCCCCAACCAAGCCACGTCCACAGAACTGGTAGTAACAAATTTTACATTTCACCACTGAATAATTTGTATTGGCAGACTTCGCAAATGGCTGCAATTCAGCCACTGTCAGTCACAATGTTTTGGGTAAAGAACTGTGAGTCAGAAAATGTCTCATTAGCCATTTTAAGAAACAAGGGAGAAGGAAAAATAAACCAAGAGCTAAGCAAGATTGCATTTGGGTTGCAAAGTGTATTTTCCTTTTTCATCAAATATTTTGGAGACACTTAGTAATTCAGTTTATATGCCCATGAAGCATGAAGCCTTTCAGACAAGGCTTCATTTACTTTTCTGATTTGTGTGAGAGAGTTTCTCTTTTATTACCAACTATGATATGTTTCTTTTTTAATTCTTCCCAGAGCAAGACAATAATAATAATGTCTACTTCTTCCATTCGAGTGGAAGAAGAGTGATTAAACATCTCGCTTTGCATGAAAGTATGACCTTTAAAATTCATTATGTCAAGCATTTTTGTGTAATCCCTTTTTCTTAAATTCATGTTCTATCTTTTACCTCAGTCAATAATATTTAAATCATTGATGGACCCAATGTTGAGATTTGTCTTTATTCATGGGTATGATGTATTTCTGAAGAAATTACAGGGATTTATACTTTTTCTTGAAGGTGGGTTTAATGCTATCCCTTTAGGTGATATTGGAATTATATCAGGCATTCCGAAACATACACACAGTGTATGTGTGTATTGTGTACACACAGTGTTTTCTGTGTGTATTAGCATTCATTTTCCAGAATTGCCAGGCAATCATATTAGCTACCGTGTTTCCCCAAAAACAAGAAAGGGTCTTATTTTCTTTTGAACCCCGAAATAAGGGCTTGGCCTTATTATCGGGGGGGAGGGTGTTTCTTATTATTTTGGGAGTAGAGGAGGTGGCGAGTGTGGGACTGGATGTTCCATTGTTGCTGCCACCTCCCCTCCCTATTCTTCACACCAGCAGAGCGGCTAGCTGCTGCTGCCCTGACATGTCCCGCCGCCGCTGCCTCGTGGAGCAGGACTCTGCAAGGCTTGTTATGCCATTGCATACATGAACTGCAGCACCAATGTGAGCTTCATCAAACCAGCACAACTGGTGTCCTGCCACTCGTGGCTGCGCCAGTATGTCAAACCTCATGGCAGTGCTGCCATTTGTGCGTGCAACAGCACGAGCCTTGCAGAGTCCTGCTCCACTAGGTGGCGGTGGCGCAATGAGTCTCACAAAGACTCATTTCTGACAGGTGGGACGGGGGAGAAGCAAGACACGTGGAGCGAGATGTGGGTCCCCTTGCCATCTCTTCTTTCCCCCCCTCGCTGGGCGTGGCAGGGCTCCTTCCCCTTGCTTAGCCACCCACCCCTTTAGGGATGCAATTTGGGGCTGGCAAGTGGAGCGGGCGAGAAGCGGGACGGGCGTCTTATCTTTCAAACTCTGTGGCATTCCTTGTGTTGTGTCCAGGGAAACACGTTGTAATAAAAACCCCTTCTCATGAGTTCAATCAAACTTCTTGAACTCGCGAGAAGTTTTCTTTTACAACGTGTTTCCCTGGACACAATGGCAAGGAACGCCACTGAGCTGGAAAGGTAAGATGCACATGCCACTTCTCGCCTGCCCCACTTGCCACCCCCATATTGCATCCCTAAAGGGGGCAGGTGGCTAAGCAAGGGGCAGGAGCCCTGCCATGTCTGGTGAAGGGGGGATAGAAGAGACAGGGGAACCATGCATCTTGCTTCTCCCTACCCCACCTGTCAGAAATGAATCTTTGTGAGACTCATCACGCCGCTGGCACTGCCTGGTGGAGCAGGACTTTGCAAGGCTTGTACCATTGTATGTACAAATGGCAGCCACAAGCGACAGGACACCAGTTGTGCCGGTATGATGAAGCTCGCGGCGGTGCTGCAGTTCATGCATGCAACGGCACAACAAGCCTTGCAGAATCCTGCTCCGTGAGGTGGTGGCAGGACATGTTAGGGCAGCCATGATCAGCCACTCAGCTGGTGCGAAGAACAGGGAGGAGAGGGCAAGTTCTCCATCTCTCCCCCTCCCCCAGCCTTGCCTCCTCAGCTCGTGTTGTTTGCACAGCAAGCAACTAGGGGAAATGGCGGGACCAGCTGACATGCATGTAAGTAGTTGGTATGGGGGTTATTTGGGGGGGGCTTATTTTAATGCATGCGCTGAGAAGCCCGATTGGGCTTATTATCCAGAGATATCTTAGTTTCAGTGAAACACGGTAGGAATTGTAGGAGGTGAAATGCAACACGTGGTGTGGTAATTACAGGCCAATTCTAAAGAGAACCCTTATATCTAGATGTTATATATTGATAAATTGGAAAGTATTTTTTCTTTTCTTTTCTTTTCTTTTCCAGAAGCAGGACATTTTTATGAAGGAACCACAGTAAATGAAGAAAGCAAATGTAACAGTGATTCAGTTTTCTACAAACAGACAGAGGGTAATGATGTTTAAGTTTTACTGTTATTTTTAACTGTAAGTGAAATATTTGAATTGTAGTGAAATAACATGGGATTAATATATATCATTAGTGGCAATAACTTTAAACAATTTATATTGTACAAATTTTTCTTTTCACCATATCTCACTTTTTTCCTATGAAAACATAGTAAGTTTTGTACACTGAATAAGAATAGATGTCAATGCTGAACAGAACCTGCTAGAGGCTATTTTCCTGGTTCATTGTTGCCACACTGTATGGGAGTGGGGAGGGGGGAATGCATTGCTACTCTGTTTCCCCCAAAATAAGACATCACCTGATAATAAGCCCAATCGGACTTTTGAGCACATGGCAATAAGGCCAAGCACTTATTTCAGGGTTCCAAAAAATATAAGACAGAGTCTTATTTTCGGGGAAACATGGTAGGCACAAGGTCATCTCCCAGGTGATGGATGGAGGGAGAAGGAGAAGAGTCCTTGAGGATCCCTGCCAATTTATCTGATTGGCCAACATGACTAGTGACACTGGGGGGAAGGGGTGATTACTGATTTTAATTATGCTGAAACTGCAAGAAAGATTCAGGATTGGTTTTCAACCAAGTATGCCGATATGATTTACCCAATAAAGAAGTTGTTTGAGGTGGTCCTGATTAGCTTGGGTTAGTTACCTTGGCATTAAACCAACTCTGCTAAATTCTGCCCTGAAGAAAGGACAGCGCCTGTGGTCCTGAGTGCTGGCAGCTCTGGGAGGAAGAAGAAGACTCGGGGAAGATTTTGAGATAGAAAAGAAGAGAGAGACCGTGGCCAACCCCAGGGAAGTCCTAGCAGGGATTGTTGTGCCAGCTGGTCAAGTGGGGGGTGGAGTGTCCACCCCAACCATTAGACCAAAAGTCTGAGTGGAGCAGACCGAGCGGCAAGTGGTTTGAGAGGATACCATAGCCACAATGGACCTCTACTATGCGGAAGGAGAGCTGGTTCATAGAAGGATGCCGAAAGCTGCTGAAGTGGAATTCCCCTTGAGGTCCCCTCGGTCACGAACCAACTTGTTCCCGAGATGGGAAGCAAAGAGTGGAATGGAAGTACCTGGCTGCCCTTTATAACCCATCAGTCGAACAGCTGAGGATGAGATTTGACCGCATGGAAATCCAAGGTGTGGAGCTGATGCACTGCCCTGGTGCACCGATGGTGCCCACAACCTGTTTGTCCAATTAGCCTCAACTCTCCAAAGCCCAAGTCTGACCCCGATGGCAACAAGCCTTCCTGGGCCAGCAAGAGTGATGAGCCCAGATCCGAGACACAGTCCCCCATGGCAGCAAGGAGTGATGAGCCCTACCCCAAGGTGGAGTCGTCCTCCCCAACAACAGTGGGCTGTGAGCTACGGGGCCTAGCCACGGGCCCACCTGGGTGGTTGGCTTATCCACCGTGGCCCTATTACCCAATGCAGGGATGGTTCCTTGGCCCATGGGCACCTCCTCCCTCCTCCACCACCTGTGGACTTGCCACAGATGAAAGCCACATTTGACGGGGATCCAAAGAAATTGGCATTCTTTCTCAACCAGGTGTCGGCCACCTGCACCGTTACGCCCAGGCTATCCATCGGAGGTGGCGATGGTGAATGCTGTGGCCGCAAACGTGGAGGGGGAAGCCACAGAGTGGATGACTAGACTCCACGATGAATACACACCAGAACTGGGGAATATTGAGGTTTTCCTGGAGGAACTGAGGACCAGATTCGAAGATGAATCCCAAGCCCTACAGGCTAAAACAGGGATTCGAGAAGTGAAGCAAAGGGGCCAACCAGCAAAGGAATATGTCCGAGAATTCCGCAGAGTGGCTGGAAAATTGAGACATTGGCCAGATCGATTGCTGGTCTACCACTGCAAAGAGGGGCTTGACTGGAAGCTGCCCCAGGCCTGCATCTACCAAGGAGTCCTCGAGTGGACCCAGAACTTGTAATGGATAGCAATTGTGCTGGACCTTGAGCTGAAACAGTATAAAAGGAAGGGAGCATCCAAGGCGAAACAGAATGGAGCCAGGAGAGGCACTAGTTTGGATGATGGACAACCACATCCATGGCCATGAGATCTCCTCCTGCCATGCCCCGAACATCCATCAAGTGCTTCAGGTGCAGCCAGCAGGGCCACTGGGCAGCCAAGTGCTTAGCTCCCACACCCTAACTAAAGAGTAATCCACCAAGCACAACCAAGCCAAAGAAACTGCAGAGGAGGGGCCAAGTAAAATTAAACCAAGCTGTAGAAGTCGCCTCTCCCTCAAGTGAGAAAAAGGGAACTCCAGCCAAGAAAGGCCAACAATCCACGCCCTATGATAGCAAGGACGAAGGCAAATGTGACCCGATGGTAGGTGAGACCATCCTTCTCTTCGCCATCCCTACAAAAATTGTGGTGCCCAAGTCAGGGGAACAAGGCAAGGTGGATGCCCTGATAGATTCAGGCTGCACCCGTTGCCTAATCAGCCTGCCAAAGATGCTAAGACTGGGAATCTGAGCATGGAAACTGCCCCAGGCCATGAGATTTGAACAGGTTAATGGGTCACTGATAGGAGGATCCCCGCATCGCACCTAACTGAACCAGTGCGGCTAGAAATGGGCAAACACCGGGAGATCATCCGTTTTATAATAGTCCCATAGTGATCCTAGGGCTTTCCTGGCTGGACAAATAGGGCCCAATGATCTGATGGAAAGAGGGATGGAGGAAGATGAAGCTAGGAAGAGGACATTCCCTTCCCCAAAGCAATCCCAGGGGAGGGACTGCCTGGCAAGCCCCTATCCAAAAGAACAAAGACTGGCTAAAGGTGACATCAGAAACCCCACTGGGCACTCAGCCAATCTCCAGGGAATACTGGGACCTGGCAGATGTGTTCAGTGAAAAGGAATGTTATGTGCTTCCCAACCCCAGCACCTCACCGCTTCACTGACTGTGCAATTGAGATCTTACCAGGAGCAAATCTCCCCAAACCCAAAATGTCCTCAATTACGCCAAGGGAGATGAAGGAACTGAGGGAGTACATAGTACATAGACCTAGCCAGGGGATTCATCCAACCCGCCAAGTCCTGCGTAATGGCCCCAGAACTGTTTAAAGAAAAGAAAGATGGAACTATGAGATTATGCATAGACTTGAGGGGAATTAATGCCATACATGTAGAAAACATGTAGACCAGTGGTTCTCAACCTTCCTAATGCCGCGACCCTTTAATATAGTTCCTCATGTTGTGGTGACCCCCAACCAGGGGTCGGTTCTAAATTTTTTTACTACTGGTTCTGTGGGCGTGGCTTATTTTGTGGGCGTGGCTTGGAGGTCATGTGACTGGGTGGGCGTGGCTAGCTGGTCATGTGACTGGGTGGCCATGGCTATGTGCATAGGGACTACTCAGAGGGCTGAAAAAAGTCATTTCTGACAGGTCCTCGCAGTTTTGACTGGTCCTCACACTTATGACCATCCTCACATTTATGCCCGTGCAGCATTCTTAACAACCATGTCATTCATTTCACAACTGCTTCTCTTCACCATGGTGACAAGATAGGGCAAAAACATAAATTGTGAGGACAGTCGTAAGTTCGAGGACTGGTCAAAAGTGCGAGGACCAGTCAAAAATAACTTTTTCAGCCCTCTGAGTAGTCCCTGTGCAGAAAAGGACTACCCAGAGGGCTGAAAAAAGTGATTTCTGACAGGTCCTCGCACTTTTGACCGGTCTTCGCAGTTATGACTGGTCATCATTTATGCCCATTGTACCATTCTTAACAACCGTGTCACTCATTTCACAACTGCTTCTCTTCACCATAGGGCAAAAACGTAAATTGTGAGGACAGTCGTAAGTTCGAGGAGTGGTCAAAAGTGCGAGGACCAGTCAAAAATAACTTTTTCAGTCCCCTGAGTAGTCCATATGCATAAAAGGATACAGCAATAGAGAGGGATGAAGGAAGGGAAGGGAATTTAGAGTAGGAGTGAGGGTAAGAGAGGGAGGAAGAGAGGAGGAGAAGGAGAAAGAAAGAGGAAGTAGGGAGAAGAAGAAGAGGAAGGGAAGAGAAAGTAAGAAGGAAAGAAAAGAGAGAGGTGGTAGGTTTGAAGAGAAAGATTGCTGTACAATAAAAAAGATGAAAGGGAAGAAAGCCAACCCCAAACAAATATAAAGATATTAAGATAAAGAATTAATTGTTAAACTTTAAAGAATAAAAGAGAACAAATAGCAATAAATAGCAATAATTAGAAACACACATACAGTCAGGTCCAGAAATATTGGGACATCGACACAATTCTAACATTTTTGGCTCTATACACCACCACAATGGAGTTGGAATGAAACAAATACAATGTGCGTTAACTGCAGACTGTCAGCTTTAATTTGAGGGTATGTACATCCAACTCAAGTGAACGGTGTAGGACAATGACCTTCGCATTGTCATCTATTTTTATATCCATCCTCACATTGGTTAATTATGTAATTATGTAATACAGTTGTTTAATACAAATTCAACATTTTAATATAAATCAATTAGTTATATAACTATCTTTTTTGTATATTAATCAATATGAACATGAATATTCCAATTATTTCCATGCAATCCAATTTCTTACAAATCAATTAATTATATTTATCAATAATAATAAACCAAATAATTTCCCCCTTATATTCCTCGAAACCACAACTTAACCATTTCTGCTTTCAACACAATATACAATTAATAGTATCTCAATTATTACAATTCCCTAGTTAAATAGAGCTTTTTTGCTTTTGTGTTTTAAAATCTTGAACCTCCTCTTTTGCCCTAAATTTCCCATTGTTTGCAGTTTTGCACCTACCTTTTTTGGTGAGGAAAAAGAAAAAGAAATCTCTCTGCCTCATTTTGTCACGTTGCAGCAAAGACCCTGCTTCCTTACTTTCAATTTCGCTTTTCAGCATAGCTAGGGGAAAAAAATTTGCTCCAGGAATTTACCTCTTTGCAGCTAGCTCTTTGAAGCCCTGCGGCAAGAATTTAAAGTTTT